AGCTAAACTTAGATGCAAAGTTCGAAGGAAGGAGGGAAATCAAGACATATTACCCGGAAAACATTTTGCCTGAAATAATTCGAAGGTAAAAAAACCCCACAAGAACAGAGAACTCAGAAAAGACTTGTCATATCATCTCCGACTCCAACGACTAAACCTGTTCTCTCTGGATTACCGTCCTCTGCGGAGATTTTTTACACCATACTGAGTTCGGCACGAGGTCACAGCCCGAAACTGTTCAAACCCAGAAGTCTCCGTTTGACCCCATCTGGCTTGATCAACTCGCGTAATGGATGACGGGGACAGCCTACCGGAGTCCACTATCAAAATCAAGACGGAGGAACGTTTTAAAGTATTTCGGATGCATATGTGTGTACCGGGATCCAATGCAACTACGGAGTCTCGTTTCCCAGTGACCCAAGACATCTCCGTAACGACCAGGAAGTTATGGAACTGACAAAGAATCTTTCATCTGCTCTTTATTATCCAACGATTTCACAGTCGAGACTTTATCGGTTTACATGAACAAAAAGTAAGCCGCGGAGAGCACACTTTCGAATAAAACAGGAAGCGACGCTTATGACCATTAGCTTCGTGAACGCAGTCTGCAAACGAGTGACAGAAACAACACCGTAACGCACGTCCGAGGCGGTAGTTGAGTAGCATACTAATGTGAGGGATGACAGGGTTGGTAACAAATGCTATCCCACGGCAGGCACACCAATGGAAGAAGTCAGGTGCACTCAAGGGACCGGTGACGAAAGATAAGAGACGACCATCTGAAAACTTTCTTAATCAAGATGTACGGAAATTCCGCCGAACCGACCATTAGCATCGGCAGTGGCGAGCGGTATTGAGTAGCTGGTAGCGGTGATCAAACCGTCGCAACGAGACTGGACCTTAACGTGGTGCGACGGTTTGCGTACCTCATTGACCCATTGAGCTATACTGGGTGATGCCTCCGAGCATCTTGAGAGCTACTCCTACCAGGTTGGTCAATGGTGAGAGGTCAGACAAACTCAGTCTTCTGGTCCTCCAGGTTGGGGGTTTGAAATGGGATGGCGTCCATTTCTGTAAAACTAAATCACTGCCACCCCGCTGCCTTGCGGACAGGCTTTTGAGCCAAAGGCTTTGGATGAGGACCCTAATCGTTCTCCTGTCTAGGTCTGGGCGCCCTGGCAGTATCCCAGCCCACATACAACCATGACATTTTCTTCAAACATAAATTTCATCCTGCATCGGCCGTCGCGCAGATTATCAAGGGTCGCCTTATCTGCTGCATACAGCAGGGCGGATAAGCGAAAGCATGCTACTGCTGGCGCCTCCCTTCTTTCTTTTCCACCTTTTTCTCTTACTCCCATCCCGGCCCCCATTACTAACCTTCCTTCTATAATTCCCAGCTTAATTGACAGCAGCCGAAGTGCTACTGGAGTAGAACCATCTGCAGCCACCATCCCACAGCACGTATCGGACGCCTATCGGCAAAAGTTCCTTATAAGGCCACGCTGTCCCGTTACCATGGCGACATTCAACGTCCGCACTCTAAGACAAACAGGTCAGCAGGCTGCACTCGCACGCACCTTAGACACACTGGGTGTTGATGTGTGTTGTGTGTCCGAAACTAGGATTAATGACCCTAACGGGGTTATTGAATTGACTGCACCCGGCTTATCCTCTCGTTATTGGTTGCACGCATCCGGAGACGCCGATGCGGCACTCACTGGTCAAGCTGGTGTAGGTATCATTCTCAGCTCCAAGGCTGAGTCATCGTTGGTTGATTGGATTCCGGTGAACAGCCGTTTATGTGCAGCCCGTTTGACGACATCAGCTAAGGTGAATTCGCGAAGTAAAACAAAACGCTGTTTGTTTGTGATTTCTGCTTATGCTCCCACGGACTGCAGTTCTAATGCAGTCAAGGACACTTTCTATCACGAACTGAACACGCTGCTACGCAGTGCTACTAGCTCAGATATTGTAGTACTTGCAGGGGATATGAACGCACAAGTAGGGCGTCTGAGCTCTTCAGAAGCTCAGCTGGGTGGTAAGTATGGACTTAACGCCGAACGGACTGACAACGGCGAGCGTCTGCTGCAACTGTGTGCGGAGCACCAGTTGTTTCTTAGTAGCACTGCTTTTAGACACAGTGGGCGCCGAAGTGCCACTTGGCGTCCTCCTGTAGCTGGTCAGCGATGGACCCAAATTGACCACATAGCCATAAGTTACAGGTGGCGCGGTTCCATTCTGGATTGCCGCTCATACTGGAGTACCTGTGTCGACTCTGACCATGCCTTGGTGCGCTGTCGTTTCTCCATGAACTTTACCGGAAGGCGCACAAAGCGTCTCCCCCGATTGGCAACGGAGAAATTGTCCCAGCCCTCTGTCAGGCAAGCCTATCAAGAAGCACTGCATAGCGAACTCTCGCTGTCTTGTCCTAATGACACTGAGCTTCAGTGGAATAGGATCTCGGCCGCTATGCACGACGCAGGAGCATCTGCTTGTGGCACTATCAGTCGTCATCGCACCAGTCACTGGATATCCGAGAGGTCCGTGAACCTTTTGGAAGCTAGAAGGCACCTCCCGGCTGGTTCTGAACACAATGTGACCAGACGGGCTATTAGGCGTGAACTAAAGCGGAGCCTACGTGCTGACAAGGAAGCCTGGTGGACCAGTCGGGCTCAAGAAATGGAGGAGGCAGGAGCAGTAGGCAATTACCGCAAGCTCTTCCAGCTAATCCGCACCACTGGTCCGAGGAAACCAGGCGTCAGTGAGTCAATCAGGGACAGCGCGGGTGCGCTGATACACAATAAGGAGCGCCGTATGGCTCGTTGGGCTGAACACTTTCAAGATCAGTTCAGCTGGCCCCCTGCTCCCGGACCTCTTCCTACTCAGGTGATGCAGGACGAGCCATGGACGGTTAGTTTAGAGCCCCCGTCGGAGGCCGAGGTCCGAAACGCGATCACAGCCCTCAATCGTTTTCGTGCCGCTGGCCCGGATTCCCTACCACCTGCACTATTTAAGGATGGAGGTGAGGTCCTCTGCAAAGCACTGACCTCCCTATTCGAACGTATCTGGAACGAAGAGAGTGTGCCGGCTAATTGGAGCGAATCGATTATAGTGGCAATATACAAAAAGGGCGGTCGCACAGACTGTGCGAACCACAGGGGTATTAGCCTAACGCCAGTTGTGACAAAATTACTGGCCTCGATTATCGTTCGTCGTCTCACTGTAGAACGGGAATCTCGGATTAGAGAAGAGCAGGCCGGTTTTCGCCCAGGACGTGGCTGTATAGACCATATATTTACTTTGCGGCAGGTGCTAGAGCAACGCCACGCATACCGCAGACCGACAATAGCTGTGTTCCTCGATTTCAAGAGTGCGTTCGATTCAGTCGATCGATCGATTCTGTTCGAAATACTTGCGCGAAAAGGTGTTCCCACGAAATATGTGAACATCCTTCGTGCTCTATACTCGAACACTAGAGGCCGCGTCAGGGTCTATGGTGCCCTATCGGATAGCTTTTCGACTACAAGTGGCGTTCGACAGGGTTGCCCGATTTCCCCGTTTTTGTTCAATTTCGTAGTGGATTCTATCATGGAGTGTTCCCTTGCGGAATCTCACGATGTAGGTGTTGAAGTGCTGCCTGGTGAACGGTTAGTTGATCTAGATTATGCGGACGATATCGTCTTGCTTTTCGACAATGTTGAGGCGGCACAATCAACCCTGAATAGCCTGTCGAGAGTGGTCCCATTATTTGGTATGCACTTCGCACCTTCAAAGTGCAAAGTGTTGCTGCAGGACCACCAGCCACTCGATGACCCCTTGACGCTTGCTAACGAGGAACTCGAGATGGTTGATCAATTCAATTATCTTGGCAGCTGCATCAGCAATGATGGGCGCATAGAAACTGACGTGAGCTCACGCATTGCAAAGGCCAGAGCTGCCTTCTTGAACCTGCGTCATCTTTGGCGACAGAAGGGAGTTTCCCTCCGTCTGAAAGGCCGTGTATACAAGGCCACAGTGAGGGCCGTTCTGCTTTATAGTAGTGAGACTTGGCCCCTTCGGTCTGAAGATCTGAGGCGCCTTCAAGTCTTTGATCATCGTTGTTTGCGAAGCATTGCTGGTGTCGGATGGCACCAGCGTGTCCGCAACGATGATGTGCGTAGGCGAGTACTAGGTGGTGATGATCATGCTAGCTCGCTAGAACAACAGATAGCACTGAATAAGTTACGTTGGCTCGGGCACGTGCTACGCATGCCGGGTCACCGCTTACCTAGGAGGGCCTTGTTCAGTCTACCAGGTGTCGGATGGCGCAAGGCTCGAGGTGGACAGAAGTTGACTTGGCAGCGGGAAATGAAGTCACTGACGACCAAACTGGGTGCCGTTGGTCCGTCTCGCCTTCCGGGTTGGAGCCCACGTGACTCACCTTGTGCTTGGCTCGAGACTTTACAGGACATGGCTCGCAACCGACACCAGTGGCGCGTCTGCTGCCGTCTCCTAATTGGATTGTCTGTTTAAAGTGTGTTTGGTGCTGAGTTATCTGCGGGGTAATGGCTGATTATGACGCGTGGCAGTGAAAGCCGCAAGGAAGCTGTCTCGCCGATGCCGCCTTATCTTTGCACGATAGCCAGCTGTTTGTGACGGAATGTTGTTAACACAAGGTGTAGGCGCCTTGACCCTGAATGTTTGCTTAGGGCATTAAGGTTTTCAGGTAAGTCCCCCTTCTCTCCCTCTTCTTATTCTTTATTTCATAGTCCTCATGGTTGTATGGCAGCGAAGCATCAGTTCAAATGGCTGATGTACTGCTGTTGATGATGATGATGAGCGGTGATCAACCGACAAACCGAACTACCGGCAAGTAGGCGTCTATAGTAGACCGTGTCTATGAGAATATTACATTACATTGTTACATCTTCCCCTGATTTATGAAACCATTGGAATTGATCTGTTTTAGCGAAAGCAACACGTCTACAGGGGATACTGGAACTTGGATAGGAGGAAATCATTAGGCCAATAATTTATTGTATAAGTAATATACAAGCAGATCGAAGGCAGTAAGACCGCAAATAAGCGACGTATAATGACAGCACAAACACAGATAGGATGGGATATTCTCTGTTCGGAAATGATAGTATTTCCAATATTCGTAATCCAGCTGGAGCAGAAGACCGCGCCTCAGTCGAGCCCCAAAACTTAGCCGTGAAGGTAGCCCGGTCCCGAGATCGCAAACAATGAAGCCCCCGAGGGTGGGTTTCCCGATTTGTCAGTAATCATCCAAATTGAAATCGATGTTGAGATCGGTATCACCACCGGCGATGTTAACGAAATCAATCTGATAGCGAAGGATACCTGGGATAAACGACATTGGGCATTAAGGACAACCATTAAGTGACTATACGCGGTCACGGACGAGTTCAGTAAAGCAATATCATTATCACTACACATAAGCCGAGAAAAGCAATACATTAAGATACAAGAAAAAATATACTAATTATAAAATCCAATAAACCGACGACACACTGATTGGTGACATATTATGCTTCAAGAGGGAGATTGTGGTTGGAAAAGGAAAATAAGTTGGATGGGGAAGCAATAAAGTAATAAGATTGCGGTTTTCGACTCACCCCCGATTCCACCGAATCCACGAACAAACTGCGCACCTTCCTGAGACCGATCCGTCACTATTTCCAATATGGCTCCGAAGGTACGGTAGTTCAGAGCCAGCCAGTCAAGCAACAGCTGTGTATCGAGAACTTCTAAGTCGGTTCCCGACTCAGGGTCTATAAAATGTGCTCTTTCTCGCTCCTGATCAGGCCGCAAATGAAGAATTTTCGTTTCTAAAACAGAGACAATCACAGTGAACTATCGAGAACGGACACAGTACAGCACTATTCGCAACTCAGATAGTGTTCGATCATGCCTTTAAGCGCATACACGTGCTGCAAATAACGCGTCACGAATGATCAGATCAATGTATGTCGCATATACTCCCAAGAAGCATACTTTAGCACCTTGGTTAATGCTGCGACAAGGTAAGGTTGTTGGAGCACGCTGAAGTAAGGTGCAGCTCTAGCACTTACGTCTTACCAGTGCTCGAACTTCATCCGATCTCAATTCATCAGGAAAGAGACGTAATGAAGTTTGCCCAATTAGTGTGCGTCAGTGGAACCGCGGAAGTATATAATACATCCGCAGTTTGCCAAGACGTCAAGGAACGATTCAAGTATTGATGCATGCGATCGTAGATGTGTCGCTAAGCTTCAGAATTAGTAGAAATGGAAAGTGACAATGTTTAGCTGACAACCGGATAGAAGAAATATGACTGTATATGGTGTGAATGGTACAACGAAAGATGAAGCCCAGCCTGCCAGGAGTCCACTGACAGTCAAAGGCAGATTGTGAACGAACTCTCGAGAATTCGTGACTGGCTCAGTGAAATATTTATCTTTTCTTACAGGACATGGCGTGCAATCTTCGACGAAGAATTATTGGGTGTGACAGCTTGTTTCAAAAGAAATGAAGGCGCTTCCCTACTAATGCGTTACCGGTTTGTTGTCAAGTCAAACGTTGGAGTCAAAAAACTGCTGAGACAAATACGTAATTATTCTGTTTTGACGAATTTGCGTGCGTTATTTTCGTCTACGTACTACAACCAACGCAGCAGGTGGGGTTAGATAATAAGAAATATATAGTATTGCGCTACATTTCCTGTCATCCAAGCCCTACCCGGGAAGGCATAATGGATCGTTGGATGATAGAAAGAAGGAAAGTCCTTTGTCAGCTCCGTGGTTTCCCAATCGTTACGGAGATAGCCTGGGTCATTGCGGAACTAAGTCCCACAGAGAACTAACAAATTGTATTAAAAACAGATGGATCCTCACAAACTAATATGAGGATCCTACAAACGTTGGAACGTTCCTCGGTCTTGGCATTGAAGACGGAGTTCCATAGGCAGTTCCAGTTATTCACGACGCGGGTGGATAAAGCCAGTCTGGATCGCATGGATTGCTAGGGCAGGATACATAAGCATTAAGTGGTTAGACAAGGTGTGATGTGGTCTTTGTTTTAGGTCCATCAGTAGTTCAAAGTCTGCTAAGTTCTGGTTAAACGACCGGCTGAGGAAAGAACACTCACGAAATCATCCTATCGTTCCAGTCTCGCTTGAACTTGACTCCGATTTGAAATTTAAACCGTGGGCTCTTGTCGAACTTTTGTGTTGAGATGCAGATGCGCAACAAAAATTTTCTCCAGTCCTTTGACAGTTCGAATCCTATTCAATTTAGATTCATCTCGGACTCTCAAAAGACTATCGTACAAACATGGTATGGATGAAGTTATTATAATGCACTGCAAAACATGTGCTGAAAATGTGCATACGCCTTGCTTAGTGGCAACTATAATCGACGATCATCAAGCACGACTCAAAGTACCAAAAAACGAATATAAAAACAGCTAGCGGTAAGGCACACATAACGGTCAATCGTGAAATGCGATGACCTCACCGTCTGAATTAGGAATTTTCAGAATGTATCGATTTACGCTGAGATTTTCCCAAACTATCAAAGTATCCACAGCCCCCATTTCAAGGGCTCTCAGAGTGTCTTCCACACCGAAGCAGTAGCGACCACTGTCCTGGGATTCAGCAATTAACAATACGTTATATATACCTGGGATATTTCATCGAAGTAACGTTGTATCAGTTTCTTTTCTTGGATAAACTTCACGCCGGAGAGAGCATCTGAGGCTAAATCGATTGCCTGATTAAATCCATTCTCGCCTCCGTACGATATATCAACAGTTTTGATCAGCTTGGCTTGCAAGCGCTGGTGCCATCAAACGGAAGCAAAATATTACGTACCTGGTCAAACATGTCCGATTGTCCTAACTCGCTTTTGAAATCCGCAATACCGGCCAGTACTAACCCTTCGATATTTGGTTTGTCATTAGTAATGAACAGCTGCGTGGCGGTCTCCGCAACCTTTCGCACATAATTGTGTCGCTTTTCCATCCGCAGTCGGGCGAAGCGCAACGCTGATTGACCACCACGACCGTGCTTTTTAGGAAGATCAACAGTAAATTTGTGCAACACTTCGCGTGTATTACCCGAGAGCGTACCGAACAACGCCCCATTTCCGTCCACGACAATGAAGCCAAATTTGTTATCGTCTGCTAACAATGCAGTCAAAGCCTACAAAATTAGGAATGAATTCAGCTAACCTCAGTGTGAAACTTGTTGTCGCATAGGTACAACGAAGTGTTTACAGGCCGGAACGGTTCGAAATCTATGTTGACCTTCTTCTCTTTCCCGTCGTCGGTAACGATTGTGCCGCAATACACAACAAGACCATTGTTAGGAACTGTACTGTTATGATAAGGAATACGAGGACTAACCCTTATTGTAGAGCTTTAGGCGCTGCTGAACTGAAGTGATAGCGCTAAGAACCGATAAGCGATTCACTCTGCTTTTGATATTGGAAGCAGTACCATACTCTTCAGCCAACAACTTTGCAATACGCGTGACCTGATCCTTGGGTGGAATGATGAGGGAGATCATGCTAGTGCCGTTGCTAAAGCGAAGTAAGGAAAGAGCGTGACATTACCCCCTAGCGGCTTCCAAACTTTTAATGAGCTTTTTGATACGCCACATCTCGACATTCTTGTCAGCTTGTGAAAAATCAGTTTCGCCGTTAGCGTTCGACATGAGTAGAAGGGGAGATTTGTAGTATGCGTCCGATCGAGATTCCGAGAGCTTTCGTTTTCTGCGTGCGGAGCTGCAATGCAAATACCATTTATTGATAAACTACACTGAACAAAACGTGAAGGGAAGAGGAAGCTTAACCGGCAGAATAACCGAGGCAGAAAAACCTTACTTTATGGATCACCACAAAGTAAACCAACACGAGTACAACACAGAGGAAGCTACGGGTCAACGAGTATGAGAGTAGAAACGAATTAAAACAACCGCTAACGTGGCCAGAAACACCAACATTCCTCTTAGTATTTGAACTACCGAAAACGCTTAAAGTATCCTTAGAACCGCTATCGGAAACAAAATGAATACTGTATTTTCGCGACATATCGCGCGCGTTTGAAAATTGTTATTTTTGCGGTTCTTGTAGAGTTTTCCCGTTCAAGTTCAAGTTCAAGTTCAGATGGGACTGGAACGATAAGAGAATCCCGTGAGTGTTCCATTTTGATCAGCTCGTTGAGCCAGGAATTGATGAAGTGCTCAGTTCTCGATGGATCTAAAAAGGAACACCCGTATCGCACCCTGGCCAACCAGTTAATGTCCACGGTTCCTGCCTTAGCCGCCCATGTTGTGGCAGTCACGTGAATTAGGCAAAGGACAAGCGGAGAAATCGAAGGTACAGAATAAGGAAGTGCACTTGAATTAAGAAGATAATGCCAATGGGTGAATAAAAGTAGAGAAAAGAAAAGCGAAGTACGAACATGCCATTTACTCAGAAAAATGGAAATGTTTCGTGTTCATAGGTTCATTGGTTTATAGGATTGTAGAGAACAGAAAGAGAAATCCTTTGTCAGCTCCATCGCTTCCTGATCATTGTGTGGAGGCCGCGATTCGATTTTTTGCGGTAATCCACTAGGGACCGTGACAGCTACACTGGAAGCTGCAAGGGCCCATCGTACTCAAAAGATAAGATTCTAGCATTTGCTTGAAACATTCCTCTGTCTGGGCATCGACTACATGCTTCGGCAAGTTATTCCAATCTTTGGCTACAGAAGTTGATAGAGCGAAAGCAGGATGAACCCGGAGTCTTCTGGGTTTAAACTGTTTCCAGTTTTGGCCTCGAGTTTAACTGTTTGGATTTGATTGAACGCACGCCTGCAGCTCCGTCCCCATCTCTCCTTTCAGGATGCGCCTGGTGAAAATCAAGTCACCGCGATGTCAGCGATAATCTAGGGTGAACAGATTCATCCGCTGAAGTCTCTGGGGTTAAGGCAAGTCTCGTACCTCTAAGATGTGTTTCGATCCACGCCGTTGAACCTTGTCAATGAGGTCACACTCGAACTCGGTGAGAGGGAAGACGGCAGGTAATCCGTATTCGAGAATGGGTGGACATGGGAAGTAAACAACCGTCGGAAGATATCCGGAGCCAAACGTGAGAAGGCTCTTCGTATGCCATGGGACATCCTGTTGGCAGCAGCAACCCTTCGTAACGTGTCCTTTGTAGTCCGTAGATCAGATGCCACCAACAAGCCGAGGTCTTTTTCAAGGATTGAGGTTCTGAGCAACGCCCCACCAACGTGATACGTCTCGAAAGGCTCAGAAGCACCAATGGGGAGGACCGAGCACTTATCGCGATTTATGGGCAATCGCCATGTGACTGACCAATCATGGAACGTATCAAGTGTAGCCTGTAATCGTTCCGCCTCGTCAAGACAGAATACCTTCATCCGCAATTACAAGTCATCAGCGTAAACCAAGCAATCCGACTGAAGTTCCGCCGGGATGAAGACCTTGAAAAGTTCTGGGCCCAGGACCGATCCCTGTGGGACACCGCTAGTCATGGTCACAGGAGCGGAGTAAGTCGCGTTCACGTCGACTCGCATTGTCCGGTCATCCAGAATCAGAATCACTTTATTAGGAGAATAAGATAAAAATCTATGTGATCTCCATCATAAGTGAAGCAAAAATGACCCGTGCCGAATATGGGTCCGTGTGAATTCACATCAATAGTCGTTTAGTAATAAGCAAACAAAATACCGATATATAAGCACAAAGAAAGCACTACGTGTCTTGGTCTTTTAGGGTTGCTAGTGTAGCCGTGACATAACACGCGACGAAAGGAGGTCAATCATAGCGTCTGCATGGAAACACCAGTCTGAAAAATGTTTGCCAATGCTTCGTTTGAAACACTGCACTGAATCAGAAAGAACAACTGAACTGGGCAACCAGTTCCAGAAACGTATCACACGTCGCTCGAAACAATGAATATGAGTGACATTGTCCATACTTGGAACTTCCAACTTGTAAGGATACCCTCGGGTGATGGGTGCATCCACAATACAGAACATATTTCTCAGGTGAGGAAAATGTCTCAGGTGAAGGATTCTAAACGTTGTAACGAGGTCAATTCGTAATCTCCTGTACACTAGTGTATGGAGACGTAACTTGTGGCACCTCTGGTGGCAAGATAAGCCTCGGAGCGTGGGGATCAGGTGGGTGACTAGGTGCTGGACTTTTACTAGTTTTCTCATCTCACGTTTTGTACTTTGACAATAGGCCGGTGCCCCGTATTCTCCCGAAACGGAATCAACCCAGAACAATCAAAGCATTCGCACTTCACAGTCTAGACGCACAAAAGTAACCCAGAAAACTAATAAAATCAATACAAGTCACCTGAGTCGTCCGACTTCAATAACTCCAACTACTTGTGGTCAACTCGGAAAGAGACAACTACACCACCTTAGGAAACAAGTGCAAGCTCAAGCAGGACCGGTACGATAGGATTATACCGTGAGTGTTCCTTCTTCAGTGGGTCGTTAAAACAGGAGTTGGCGGACGTTGAACTACTGGCAGAACTAAAATAAAGGCCGCGTCACACCCGTTCCAAGCAGTTATTGAACACGCATCCTGCCCTAACAGTCCCTGCTGGGCCGGTTACGTGAAGTAAGAAAAAAAAGTAAACTCAGGAGACAAAAGCGAAAGTGAAAAGAGCTAAGAAAGTGGAATACCAAGATATTTGAGTTATTAAACATGAACGGAAAAGTGATGGTGAGTGCGGTAGGAAAAGGAGACGTTTGCTGTGGCCACCCGGGAGCATAGAGCCGGCACGCAAAACTGTTAAGAGTAGGCTCCCAAACCAGGTGTGCTGGAAACGAATTTCAGCGATGTATAACACGGCGCAACGGACGAGTTTCCGCCCTAAACCTATCAGACCGTGGTTTGTGCAGTTCCAGTGGGCGACCACGGAGATTAGTTAACGCAGTGGGACTAAATAACCCTGACAAGTCCAGGCCAATCTCACCCGCCAAAATAAGATAAGTGAGAATCAAATTCCCACTTATCCTTCGGTAGTGCGTGGAGTACATACTCAAACTGAGCAAGCGTTCAGGATACGTCTGTCCCCGTAGACCCTGCACTAACCGAGTGCCCACTCGTAACACCCTCTCCAAGTCCATTTTGTCTCGGTTAAGACATGGTGGACAAGCCTGAATACAATATTCCAGGTGGGGTAGGACGAATGCCGAAAATAGCTTCACAAACAAATCGGCCATTAGGATTCCGAAAGAGCGGCAGCTAAATCACATCATACGAAAACCTCGACAAACAGCCTTCTTCCAGTTTTCTCCAGAATGAAGTGCTGACGCGTGTACGACCATACATCTACCTGCGGAGTGACAACAGGGAGTTCACCACCGCCGACGACATATCGGGTGGGAGGATTATCAACCATGATTTGGAGAACAGAGCACGGCCCTATTTGTGGACACCAACCAAAACGTAGACCATTCCGAGCGCCTATCCAAGGCATGCTGAATTGCCTCAGGACACCCCGGGATATCCACAATATTCCAGAGCTTAAGGTCGTCAGCAAACATTAATGATGACACCCCTAGCTCTCCCGGCGAGTCATTTACATAGATAGCAAACAACAATGGCCCAACTACCGAGCCCTGCGGGACGCCACTAAGGACAGCTTACATGAGGGAAATGCTACGCCCCACCTGTAAGCACCGTTCCCTCCCCTCAAGGAAGGCAGACACTCATTTATGGGCGCGACCAGTTATCCCGTAAGATCACACCTTTAGTGAGAGCCGAAGATGTGGAACAGTGTCAAAAGCTTTCGAAAAATCTACGAATAGCCCGTCTGCAGCGTGGCCACTGTCTACCACTTCGGCCCATCTTTCACGAGCTACAAGTAGATTAGTCGGACATGAAAATTGCGGAATCCCTGTTGCACAACACTTAGAAGATTGAATCGAGTCAGGTGGTTCTCCACTGCATCCCTTATCAGCTTTTCAAATAACTTGACTATTACGCTTGTCAAACTGACAGGCCGGTAGTTCGCGGGTAGAGCGCTGTCACCGCCTTTAAAAATCGGACAGATGATTGCCTCCTTCCATTCCGAAAGTAGGATGCATCTGTCCAGCGATATTGAAAACGCGCATGTAAGAGGACCACTCAACTCAGTGGCCAAATCATGCTACAGCTTCGGATGAATTGAATCAAGACCGAAAGTGTTAGAGGAATTAACGTCTTGCAGTAGCTCGAAGACCTGAGTCTCCGTTATGCTAAATTCATCTAAGCAATAATTCGCTGGAATTCTTAAATCAAATTCAACATACGGTAAAGAGGTCTCCCGAGCAAAGACCTCAGTATAGTGATCACTAAGTATACAGACATTTTCATAGTCGGTTTGAGCACGGGTCTCGTCTGTCCGCAATAACGCTGGTATAGACAGTTTCGCCCCGCCGCGTCTGTTCACGTAAGCAAAAACTTCTTGGGATTAGCTGCGGCCAAGTCCGCTAAACTCTGCTCGTACTGGTGACGAGCAGCTCTGAGGTGTTGCTCACGTTTAGTTCTAATCTCTCAATAACTATCATAGGTACTGGCTGATGGAGCCGCTTGGTAGGTTCGCCAGCATCTAGACCGTTTCTTGACTAGGTACTTGCCTATGGTATCTATCCTTGGAGACTGTGCCCTTAACCCTCTTTTCCTCATGAGCGGAATTTAGGGAGTGGAAACCTCCGTAAAGTATGCTTTAAATTTATCCCAGGCTACCTGGACAGAGGCAGCCATCGAGATTTCATAGTTCAGAACTGAAGCCTTAGCTCGCATTGCACTAAAGTCCGCCCGCCAAATATTCGGAAGTAACTCAACAGCGGTCTCTTGGTGCCTTGAAAGAGCACATCGAATTGATATGCATATGTGATCGCGGGACCCTAGTTAGTTACGAAGTCCAGGGACTTAGCGAAAT